AACACTGCTTAATGAATTGTCAACCCTCTAAGGCGACACCTGTTACCACAACAATTAATGAAATGGTTGCTACAAACTTAACTAAGCTTCCGCTACAATATCGGGATTTTGCAGATGTCTGTGATAAGAAGAATGCTGATCAGCTTCCACCTCACAGGCCTTATGATTGCCCCATAGAGCTGCTACCTGGAGCTGCTATCCCATTTGGCCGTATATACTCCCTTTCTGAGCCTGAATTGAAAGCACTTCGTGAATACATACAAGAAAATCTTGCCAAAGGCTTTATTCGACCATCCACTTCTCCAGCAGGAGCTCCTATATTCTTTGTAGAAAAGAAAGATGGCAGTCTACGGCCATGTGTCGATTACAGGGACATTAATAAAATCACTGTTAAAAACCGTTATCCCTTGCCTCTCATTCCTGAACTTCTGGAGAGACTTCGTTCAGCTAAAATATTTACGAAGCTTGATCTACGGGGGCATATAATCTGGTTCGCATAAGACCAAATGATGAATGGAAAACAGCTTTCAGAACCAGGTACGGACATTACGAATATCTAGTAATGCCATTTGGGCTTTGTAATGCCCCTGCAACTTTTCAGCATCTAATCAATGATGTACTACGGGATCTCCTGGATCAGTTTGTTGTGGCATATTTGGATGATATCCTGATATTTTCTGATAATCTTGAAAATCACAGAAAACAGGTCTGCATTGTTCTTGAGCGCCTTCGTACCCACCACCTATACATTAAACTGGAAAAATGTGAGTTTGAACAAACAGAAATTCAGTTCCTGGGGTATGTAATAACTCCTAAAGGTTTAAGTATGGACGCAAGTAAAATTAAAGCTGTGCTGGACTGGCCCATCCCCAAGAATGAAAAAGATATACAGAGATTTGTGGGGTTTGCCAATTTTTACAGGCGTTTCATTAAGAATTTCTCTGCCGTTATTACACCAATCACTGAACTTACACGTAAAGGGACTCCTTTTCAGTGGTCCAATAAGGCTGACACTGCATTTTCCAGATTAAAGACTCTGTTTACATCTGCCCCTATCTTGGTACATCCTCAGCCAGAATTGCCATTTACTGTAGAGGTAGATGCTTCTGATTCAGCTGTTGGGGCTATACTGTCTCAAAGGACTGGACCTAAGATGTTGTTACATCCATGTGCCTTCTATTCCCGCCAGATGTTACCAGCAGAAAGAAATTATGACATAGGGAATAAAGAACTTTTGGCTATAAAAGCTGCCTTCACCGAATGGAGACATCTCTTGGAGGGAGCCACCCATCCAATTACTGTCCTCACAGATCACAAAAATCTGGAATGTATCCAATCCGCTAAGAGACTGTCAGCCAGACAAGCACGCTGGTCCCTATTTTTCTCAAGGTTTAATTTTTTTATTTCATACCGCCCTGGTTCCAGAAATGGCAAGGCAGATGCCTTGTCTAGGATAGCTGACCCCCTCCATACTACAGTAACCAAGGCCACCATCTTGCCGGAGAGCAGATTTTTAGGAGTTACCTTTCCTTCTGATCTAATGTCTCGCATTAAAAAGGGCTACTCTAAAGATCCAGTTTTTCGTGATCCTCCTCGTGATCTTCATATGACCATGCTTAATGGGTTTTGGATTTTTCAACAACGTCTGTTTGTTCCAGAATCAGTGCGACTGGACGTTTTACGCCTCTACCATGACTCTAAACCAGCAGGTCATCCAGGAATCCGAAAGACACAAGAACTACTTACCCGATCCTTTTGGTGGCCTAAATATTATGAGGATGTTAAGAAGTATGTGTCCTCTTGTGATGTATGTGCCAGACATAAGACTCCTCGCTCATCCCCTGTTGGCTTGCTTCAGCCTCTTCCGATTCCTCATCGTCCCTGGGGATCTATATCCATGGACTTTAGAACTACCTCCCTCTAAGGAACACACTACCATTCTTGTTGTTGTGGACCGGTTAACCAAGATGAGTCATTTCATACCAGCTCGTGGTCTCCCTTCAGCTAAACAGACTGCTGACCTTGTTATTCGGGAAATATTTCGCTTGCATGGAGTGCCTGATGAAGTAATTTCTGACAGGGGAGTGCAGTTTACATCTCATTTTTGGAAATATTTTTGTTCTATTCTAGGTATTAATGTAAATCTGTCTTCAGCTTTTCATCCACAAAGTAATGGACAGACTGAGCGAACCAACCAGACTTTAGAACAATATTTGCGGTGCTATATTAGTTACCTGCAGGATGACTGGCTGGATTTTCTACCCACGGCGGAGTTTGCCTATAACAATGCCCAACACTGCTCCACTTCTCTGAGCCCATTTTTTGCCAATTATGGTTACCATCCAACCTTTCTAGTGAGTCTCCCAATTACTACTCCCATTCCTGCAGTCACTGACCGGCTAACCGCCTTACGAGATTCCCAAGAACTGTTGAAGGAGACTCTTTCGGAGGCTCAGGAATGTTACAAAAGAGCTGCTGATAGGCACAGAAAAAAGGCCCCAGTTTATCATGTTGGTGACAAGGTTTGGCTGTCAACAAAGAATCTTAAGCTTAGGATTCCTTCTCATAAATTGGGTCAAAAGTTCATGGGACCTTTTAAGATAATCGCTCAGATCAATGCAGTCACCTTCCGTCTGCAACTTCCGGATTCCATGAAAATACATCCGGTGTTTCACGTGGCACTGCTTAAACCTTTTCATGAAAATACTTTCCCTGGTCGAGCCTTGCCTGCCCCACCACCAGTCCTTGTGGATGGTGAAGATGAATACGAGGTGGAAAAAATTCTTGACTCCAGGATCTTCCGCAACAAGCTTCAATATTTGGTTAATTGGAAAGGCTATGATGAGGAGGATAGATCATGGGAACCAGTGGACAATATTCATGCTCCTGATCTTCTTCAGTCTTTCCATGCACAGTACCCTGCTAAACCAGGAAATAGGGCATCCAGAGGCTGCGCCTGTAGAGGTGGAGGTAATGTGAGGAACTGACTCTGCTGGGTTTCGAACCCTGGTTTACATGGTGCTAAACCTCTTCCTTACCAGTACACCAGCCTGCCTTTTGCAAATTTACCTGAGATCTGATACCATTGCTTGTAGAGTCAAGGTTATCAGTGACAACTCTCTTCAGCTGTGTCTGGTCAGGTGTCTGGTTCTTGGCCTATAAAAGCAACTTCCTGTCTCTGTACCTTTGCCAGATTATTGTGGTTCCTGTACTCTCTAATCAAGCGTGTTCCTGTTTCTACTTCCTGTTGCTGAATTTGGACTGTTTTGACTTTGTTGCTTCTCCTTCCCACTGACCTCGGCTTGCCTCACTACGATTATCATCTTTCTGTTCCAGTCTCCCATCTCTGCTTAAGACCAGAAGGCCACTCAAGGCTCAGGGGCTCAACCACCTGGGTAACGAGTGGCTACCTCTGGCAGAAAACATTGCTGATCTGGCTACTGGACTCCAAAACTTTGTAACATCAATATCATTACAATTGGTTTGCTGGGCCTATGTTGCCTTTGAGATCATATAGCAGCCCAGGAATGAAAATTATCCCCATCATGGCATACCATTTATAAAAGTATATGGCCCAATCCATGGACAAAATTAGCATTTATATATTTTATTTTTTTTTGCATGTTTCACACATGAACTGCCATTTCAGAGATGCTATTATCAATATAATAAATTTTACTGCTCTAAAACGTATTTGTGTAGAGTAATGTCTGACGAGTACAGCAGTTACCCTCAAGTACAGGTTTTACAGTGATTTGGAAAGTTACATGCCAATATACCAATTTCTGTTTTTGTAAATTGCTATTTACCATATTGCAAAAGTTGCCTTTGAGATGGTATGTCCAGAAATGAAAATAACCCCACCATGACATACCATTTGGAAAAGTAGACAACCCAGGGTATTCCAAATGGGGTACGTCCAATTGTTCAGTCTTTTGTAGTAGCCATTTAGCCACAAACATTTGCCAAAGTTACCGTTCATATCCCCATCATGGCATACCATTTCAAATGTAGGCAACCCAGTTGTTAAGACCTGCAGTGGTTATGGTGCCACAGTCTTTAGTCCTCTTTCCCAAAAGCTGAGCATGAGTGATTATAGCTGCAGCAGGGAGTAGAGGAATAAGATAGATGAAATGCAGTTCCAAGGTGATTCTTCCCAGCAAGCATGGGCGGACTGACCACTCGGGCATATCGGTCATGGACCGAGGGCCCGAGACAGTCAGGGGCCCGGCCGCACGGCACAGCCATGCTCCAGCTGGAGAGATCAGAGATCAGAGATCTCTCCAACTGGAAAGGCAAAAAATAAAATAAAACTATTTAATTGATAGGTTGTGGGGCCCCTGATGCAGCGCGGGGCCCCACAACCTACCGCTCTGTAAATGCCCCCTCCCCATGAAACCTGGCAGCTTTACCAGCTCTCTGCCAGGTCTCCATCCTGTCCCACGCGGTGCTCTGTGTGATGGGAGAGGCGGGACAGGAAGTGACATCACTTCCTGTTTACTCCTCTCTCACCCAGAGCCGATCAGCCAGCAGGGGAAGGAGCAGCAGCCGGTGACAGAAGAGGAAGCAGAGAGACAGGTAGGCACTAGTCACCCCTCCTCCCCCCTGTGTCACTAGTCACCCCCTCTCACTGTCACTAGTCACCCCCCCTCACTGTCACTTGTCACCCCCTCACTGTCACTTCTGTCACCCCCACTGTCACTAGTCACCCTCCCCTGTGTCACTAGTCACCCCTCCTCACTGTCACCAGTCACCCTCCCCCTGTGTCACTAGTCACCCTCACTAGTCACCCCCCACTGTCACTAGTCACCCCTCCTCACTGTTACTAGTCACCCCCCCACTCTGTCGCTAGTCACCCCTTCCCTCACTCACTTTGTCGCTAGTCACCCCTTCCGTCCCTCACTCTGTCACTAGTCACCCCCTCCCTCACTCTGTCACTGGTCATCACCTCCCTCACTCTGTCACTAGTCACCCACTCACTCTAGTGACAGAGTGAGGGAGAGGGTGACTAGTGACAGAGGGAAGGGGGGGACTGGTGACAGAGTGAGGGATGGGGTGACAGAGGGAGGGATGGGGTGACAGTGACAGAGGGAGGGATGGGGTGGGTGACTAGTGACAGAGTGAGGGGATGACTAGTGACAGAGTTAGGGAGGGAGTGACTAGTGACAGAGGGAGGGATGGGGTGACTAGTGACAGTCACCATCTCCCTCCCTCTGTCACTAGTCACCCCCTCCCTCAATAGTCTCCCCCCCGTCTCTAGTCACCCCTCCCTCACTTTGTCACTAGTCACACATTCACTCCCTCACTGTGTCACTAGTCACACCCTCCCTCACTCTGTCACTAGTCACACCCTCCCTCACTCTGTCATTGTGTCACCCCCTTCCTTCCTGAGGGAATGACTGGTGACAGAGTGAGGGAAGGGGTGACTGGTGGCAGAGTGAGCGGATGACTGGTGACAGAGTGAGAGAGGAGGATGACTAGTGACAGAGTGAGTTAGGGGGTGACTAGTGACAGAGTAAGGGCGTGACAGGTGACAGAGGGAGGGGATGACTGGTGACCGAGTGAGGGAAGGGGTGACTAGTGACAGAGTAAGGGACGGAGGGGGTGACTAGTGACAGAAGGAGGGAGGGAGTAGTGACAGAGGGAGGTGGTGACTAGTGACAGAGTGAGGGAGGTGGTGACTAGTGACAGTCACCACCTCCCTCACTCTGTCACTAGTCACCCCTTCCATCCCTCACTCTGCCACTAGTCACCCCTTCCCTCACTCTGTCACTAGTCACCCCCTCACTCTAGTGACAGAGTGAGGGAGGGGGTGACTAGTGACAGAGTGAGGGAGGGGGTGACTAGGGACAGAGTGAGGGAGGGAGTGGGTGACCAGTGACAGAGTGAGGGGATGACTGGTGACAGAGTGAGGGAGGTGGTGACTAGTGACAGAGTGA